AGCTATGTACCTTGGGGCAAATGACTTAATCCTTCTGTGCCCATTTCCTGATCTGTAACACTTTGATGATAATAAAGTCTACCTCTTAGAGGTTGTGAGGATTTTATAATAAAAGTATTTACTCATTTTTGTGCCGAGTAAGGCCTCAAAAATGTTAGCTATTATTATTAATCACTACCACTATCATCATCATAATTCATATTAAAGTTCTGAAAGAAAAGACGTAAATATAAGTTACTTGTCTAAAACACAGAGCAAGTAACAAATTCTGTAAGTCTTTCAGTTCTAAAGATTAATCATTAAAATTCAGTGACTACTCAAGTAAGTAATCCCTTTAAGTCTCTAGAAATTTTCCTGGGGCCCTCTAAATTAGAACAGCAGCATACAGAAGAAGAAATAGCACAAACACAAGCTAAGAATTATTTGCTCGATTGCTGCTCCACTGAGTTAAGTGTGCAAGCCACCCAACCCAAATTTCAAACCGCTCGTCTTATGTTATAGGGTTACTGTGAGATCAAATGAGATAATGCAGGAGAAAACATACCCAAACCATTAAAGCTCTATATAAACGTTCAGGGGCCACATCTTACTCATTTTTATGCCTAGCAAAATATACAGCAGAGGTTATAGTCTACAAGGAAAGCTACGAAAGACTATAATGTGAAGAGCTGATGAAGATGGGGAAATAAGAAACCTAAGTGTCCAGCAACTGATGAATGGTCCAAACTTCAGTACATTAATACAGTAAAATATTACTTGACAATGAAAAGGAACAAACTAGGATACATGCAACACGGGTGATCCTTGAATCACACACTAAGCAAAAGAAGCCAAACACAAAAGACTGAAATGAAAAGAGTGTGACTCCCTTATAAAAAATGTCCATGTTAAGTACATTAATGACTTGCCTTAGAATGTGCCTGTATGGAGTGGGGGAAGTGACTGCTAAAGATACAGGCTTCCCTCTTTCATGACAATGGAATTGAGAATCCAGGGCCTTGGACTGAACCAGTACGTTTTTTTGAAATAGGGCCTCATTAAGTTGCTTGGTTGCCCAGGCTGAGTTCAGACTTGCTATCTCCCTGCCTCAGCCTCCTAGAATGCTGGGATTATAGGCATGTGCCACCATGTCCAGCCAAGTTTCCTTGTGAAATGATATTCAAAAAATTCCTGTGGTTATGGTTCTCCTCCTCTGGGAATACATTAAAAACCACTGAATTGTATACTTTGTATACTTTCAATGGGTACGTCCTGTGGATTGTGAATTTTATCTCAACACATAAAGCAGTTCTTAAAAAGAGGTAAAATAACTAAACTAAACTATAATTATCCCTAAAACTTTTTAAAGAGAAAAACAGTGAACTTTGATGTGAACAAGACTGAGACTGAGGCAGGCATTAGGAGAAAATAAAAATTACCACACAAGATCATTAATCTCTGCAGATCCTATATCTATCTTTCGTTTCAAAATTCTGCAGTTACAAATCACCTCCTTCTGGTCTAGTTCAACAGTTTTCATTACAGTCATTGTTTCTGAACTCAAAGACTGAATTTGGTGCTACCAACAACGTTACTTTGTGGAAAAATCTTGGTTTCTGTGCCACTGATGTACTTTCTGATTCTTCTCAAAATTCCAAACCGTAAAGCTTTCTCCACTATACTACTTCCCTCTCAACACATATCTACTCATGTTTGACTACCATCTATAGTCCAGTCACTGCAAAATCTACATTTCATTTCTCTATTTATACAATGACTAAATGTATAAGGTTTAGCAATTTGCTTGAAGTCCCTTGCGATTAAATGACCTTATGATGCTTCAGTAAGATAATACAGATAGTTCAGAAAAATGTCTGGCATACGTAAGTATTCATTGTTAGCTACTGTTTTACTCTCAACCAATATGTTATATGAGGCCACCTTACTCCCACCTTTTTTAGAGAATGAGAGTACCCTATCAAACTAACCCCTCTATCCTTGAAAGAGCCTCCCAGAACACCCTTACCAATCCCAAATTCACTTATTATTCACCAATACAGGTTCTCTGTGACAGTCAAGATATTTCACATTTTTTGTGCATTGCCATTTCCCTGTCTTTGCACATGTCCCTTCAATTTCCTGGAATACCCCTTTTTCACTTTACAAACTTTTCTCACTTGTCACATATACCTTTGATCTTGGTTGCACTGTTACCCCAAACAGGAGTTGGATGTTGTTTGGTAATTTGTAGGTAGTCTGTCTGGTTTTGGTTTTTTTGAGACAGGGTCTCGCTATGTACTTCAGTCTGGCCTTAAACTCACTATGCAGCCCAGGCGGCCTTGAATTCACAGCAATCCTGCCTCGGCCTCCCCAGTGCTGGGATTAGAGGCATGCACCACCACACCTGGCTGTCTGAGGATTCTGACAGACACGCTCCTTCTCCAACAAAAGAAATTTCTGTTCCTCTTTCAAAAAAAATTGGAGCATTTGAAGAGACCTGTCTTTTAGTCCCCATGTTTTTTCACAAGACTACTTCACAAACAGGTATCCTGGTACTTTGCAGAACTACAGTACACAGTAAGTTGACTAACTTACTAAAAAATATGTTTCAGGCTGTATTAAAAGACATTCACTACTTTCCACTGCCCCACCCATATTCAGCATAATGAAAGCAGATAGAATTTTGTATTTAAATATTTTTATCCTATGTAGAAGAAAAAGGGAGACTATATTAACAATTATATCCGATAAAAGGAAATAAAACAATTATTAAAAATATACTCAAGGCTGCCATAGGCTAGCATAATGGTGCACACCTGTAATCCCACCACTCTGGGAGACTGAGGCAGGAGGACTGCTGTGAATCAACACCAGCCTGAGCAACTTTGCAAAACTAAGTCTCAAAATAAAAAAATTTCCTAAAAGGGCTGAGATGTAATTCAATGTGAAGGCCCTGAGTTCAACTTCAGTAACACACACACACACACACACACACACACACACACACAATTCTCAAAAAGACTACAGAATGTGAAAAACAAGAGAATGCTAGCCATTTAGGAACTGAAAGTGACTTCAAGAGTAAAATTTTTTATCTCACCTAAACTAAAGAACTAAAAAAGCCAAAATAATTACGTTCTGGCTTCATCCAAAAAACACCTCATAATGGAACGAGAAACTCTCCAGGATCTTCAGCAGCACAAAGCCAAGAACAAGATTCTCAGTAACTCCAACACAAAACCAAAAAGAAGAGCCAACGTCTCAGATTTATCTAAGAAACTAAAAAATTCAACCACATCTGTATACCCCACCCAATCGGGGGAAAAAAAAAAAAAAGATTTACTGACTTTCTCTGACTGCATGCTAAGGTCTAGAAGGAACGAAAGGTTTCTCTCACTGCTATAGTAATCTCTTTCTGGTAAAGAGAGCAATCTGTGGTCTCAAAAAGCTAAACGCAGGAGGGTGGAAATCTTAACCTGGAAAGGACATTAAGAAAAGAAAAAAAAAAAAAATTATACAAAACACATGTTTTTAAACCGGTGTCTAGAGGCCAACGTACTCAGTAGAAAGAAAAGTGAAATAAAAGGGCTTCTACAAAAGAAGTAACTAAGTAAACCTATATGACAAGCCCGCTTCTTCACGAGTAAACAAAATACAGTAAAATGAAAAAATAAAGACAAGTAATTGTTAGGAAGAAAAACACAAGAGATACAATCCCTGGCTCTACTCATTCAGGAATCCAGCTAGGAATACCACAAACTGTAGTGCGGCAACCAAAATGGAAAACCTTTGCCAACCATACACACAGAAAGTACACGAGAAATGAAAACTATACACATCAAAGCATCAAGAGCTTCTCTCTACTTCTCAATCCTAAAAAAGAGTAACGGGAGATGCGGGGGTGGGTGTGGATGAAACTAAGCTGTGGTACGTCCCCTACTGATCTCCATTTCAGAGAGTACACAACTCTTGGTTCTTCCGTCTCATCAACCACTGTGGGGCTCCGCACAGCAAACTGACCTTAACACCTTCCACACCACCCAGAGGAAATCACAGAGGAAAAACCATCCCGTTAACCTCCCTCTTAACCAGCTGCAAAAATGGAGAGGGTGGGGGGACGGGACACCCTACCACGTGGGCAGGATGCAACACACACAGGACCCTAACACGTCTGCATGGAACGGCTGCCTTTGCCCTAATGCCAGCAAAGGACACAGCGACAGAATGGGCGGGAACGCAGGCCCCTCGCGAGGGCCTCCTCGCCCGAAGGGCACCCCAAAGGCGCAAGGTACTAGCCGCCTTCTGGACCAAAAAGCGCCCCCAAGCCTGAAGGGAAGAACTCGCCTCGCGCCGGGGCCGGGGGCTAGCCAGGACGAGGGCGCGAGTCCGGGGGAGGGGAGACGCACGCTGCGCTCGGACTCAGCGCCCCAGGGATCTACGTCCGGTTCCCCGGGCCCCACCTGGGGGAGGGGCGGGAGGCGCGGAGCCGCGGCTCCCCGGCTGAGGAGCAGCAGCAGCTGAGAAGCACAGCGGGGGAGGGAGGCACCCAAGCCTCGCGGCCCGCCAGGCCCGTCCGAGCCCCCGCCCCGCCCGCCGCTCACCGCGCAACGCGCGGCGCCCGAGAAGGGAGAGGGCGTCTCGCGGAGGGCAGCCCCTGCCTCGGTCCCGGGAGATGCCCCAGCCCCGCCTCCTCGCCCGCCGCCCCGGCCCCGCTGCGCGGGCGGCGGGCACTCACCTCAGGCTGCGCAGGCCGGGACGGCCCGGCCGAGCCCCCGGCCGCTGCGTGCGACTCCGCCCCCCGCGAAGGGTCCCAACCGCGCCAGTTGCGAGCCGCCAGGGCCCGAAGCAGCGCCGAGAGCGGCGGCGGCAGCGAGAGCAGCCAACATCCGGGGCCGCGCACCCGGAACTACTTACCGACCCACGCCCCCCCTACGCCCCCGCCTCCCTCGCCTCCCGCGACGTCTCTGCGCCACCGTACTGGCGTCGGCGGCGTCAGGGCCCTGCGCGGACTCTCGACTTACACAGGATTCCTCCGCCGGGACAAATAGTGCCCTGGGACTTCCGCGGTTCTCCCTCTGCGTACCCGGTGTTAACGACTGCGACCCACAGTTCCGAGCGACGTGGGGTCCCTGTGCCTCGGAGTGACACCTGGGGAGCGAAGTGGCAGAAGCTGCCCCGCAGTTGATGATGGCAAGGACAGGCGGCCTCGGACCCTTTCCGAGGGCCCCGTGCACCACAGGAATGTCGCCTCGTGACCTCCCCCCGCCCTCCAACCTCTGCCACCTCACCGTAGTGGCAGGCACCTCAGCTTCTGCGCCAAGCGGGGCCCGCTCGCGACCTGGCACGCGGCGGAGGAGACAGGCCGCCACGGGCGGAGGCGGACTTCCTTCGGGACACCGCCTTTCGAAACCTCACACGCCCTGGGTTCTAGGCCCACCTCTGCGGTGTCCTCTCCTGTGCGTAGTCATACTTTCCCTCTACTTTAAACCGAGGACTTGGAACTCAAGTCCCTTCTGACGCTCAGGTTCACTGGCCGGGTTATGGTCCTGCAATCCACAGGTGGAGCCTTAAGAAAGGCAGTTCCGACGCCTGTTGGACTTTGGAATTTACTTCTACGTCAGTCATCCCTGATTCTCTAAACTATTGGCACTGATAATCTTCCTTGTATTTCCCACTTAATTACATTGCTATATTATTTGCTGTTGCTTCATTAACATTCTCCATACGGCACTAAGAACACTTGAACTCGGTAGACGTTCAGTATTTGGACCCTGGGGCATTCTTTAGATGAATGCCGGGTTGATTGGATGAGAGGCCTAAGAGCCCTGAGTGATTTGGCTATGGAAACTTTTTCCTCTCAAAGGGATTGATAAAGACCGCAGTATTTCAAGACCTGAGCACTCCATTCCTTCAGCAAATATTAAACACCTGCCCTTTGCCAGGCATCTCCATGCCCTGCGTCCTGGGGATACTTAGTCGTCACGTACTCCTTACTCAAGATGTATCAGTGAGCAGAAGAGAGGGAAAAGTGCTCTCCCTCTTGGATCTTTCGTTCTAGTATGGAGACAAAGAGAACTATGAAGTATGTTAGGTGTTGAGTGCTCTAGGAAGAAATAGGGTACGGGTTATGAGGAGCACTGGAGGAGGAAACAGTGAAATACTGAATAGAGCTATCAGGGCGAGTCCCATCTATAACACAACTTTAACCAGACTTGAAGGAGCTGAGGGAAGGAACCGTGCAGGTATGGCAAAAGCAGTCCTGAGAATGTTAGAAATAGTGAAGAGGCCAGAAGAGTTAGAAAATAAGATTGAAGATCAGGGCGGGGCGGGGGAGGTCTTGTAGGCCACTGTGAGGATCTTGACATCTTTCTGGCTTGCTTTGCTAAGAGCAGACAGTAGTAGGACAATAGTAGAAGCCAGAGGCTTCATTATCCGAGTGCAGAATGATGGCTTGGGCGAGAATGGTAGCGCTAAACAGGATAAATAAAACATGGGTTGTATACTTTAAGAACTCATAATCTAGTGGGAAGCAAGTGGATTATATAATTACAATACACTGTGATAAGGAAAATAGTATCTCAAAGAGCAGGCCACCTTTCCCAGCTTTCCTGAGAGGATAGATGCTCCCAGAGCTCCAAGTTACTAAAGGAATTGGAAATTCTTGGCTCTCTGTTGGTCTGCTGGGTGGACCCCCAGTAACAATAAACACTGGACTTGTCCTCAGTCCTTCATGTCCAAAGCCCACCTCCATCTGAGCGGTATAAAGAACAGTCTGGCTCAGTAATTAAAGAGATGGACAAAGCTGGTATTAGCCCACTTGAAGAAACTGATACTAGTAGTCAGCAGGGGGCTGTTTGTTTTTCAGACAGTCTTGCTATGTAGGCCAGGCTGGCCTTCAATTCACTATGTGGCTCAGGCTGACCTTGAAATCAAGGCAGTCCTCCTGCCTCAGCCTTCCAAATGCTGAGATGACAAGTGTGCCCCACCACGCCTGGCATAGCAGGTTTTCACTTGAGACTAGAATCAACGTTATGAAAGTCCCGAACCAGGAATCTTTCTGAGCCACTTGAGTAGAGTCAGCCAAAGGATGGAATGAAAGTAAAGAAAGAGTTGTTTTCAGACTTTAGCTCAGGTCTAGAGGTTTTGGCTCCCACTCACCACCACTTCTTACAAGTGTTGGGCAGCTCTTCCCTGCTCAGTCTGAGATTCCAAAATGCTGCTTTGAAGTGCTTGTTCTGAGGGTAAAGGGGCTGGGTGGCTAGATGCCAGAGGTGGGGGGGTGGTCCATGAGCTTTTACAAAGTGTCAAAAGGTGGAGGAGCAATTAACTTGCACTGCATATGGGATTTGTGCTGAACGAATAGAGTTTAGCTGCTCTCACCACAAACACGATTGATAACTGAGATGCTGGGTATTAATTTGCTGTGCCATAGGAAGTAGCCTGTGTACTATCTATATACATCTCACAACATGTATGGCTCCAATACACACAATAAAATCTATTTTAAAAAATTGAAGGAAAAGGAAGAGAAGGACCATACCCTCCCTCAAAAAAAAGATTGTGATGGCTGCAGCAGCAGGAGGGATTCTGGAATATTGGAGAAGGACAAGTTGCCAGGTGCGCACACCTGTAATCCCAGCACTTGGAAGGCTGAGGCAGGAGGATTGGCGTGAATTCGAGGCCAACATAGGCTATGTAGTGAGATCAAGGCCAGCCCAAATTACAGCGCAAGACCTTGTCTCAAAAAAAAAAGGAAAAGTTTAAAACCTCAGTTGGAATGGCAGACTCTGGATCAATTCTAATGTTCTCTAACTTACTTCCTGCATGCCTACATCAAGTTTAGTTTCTTAGCCTCTCTTTCCATGCAATGCTAATAGCTACCTAGCTATGGAGATCATATACCAATTATCATAAAACAATAGCCCCCAAAACAACTGTTATTATGTATAAGGCTGAGTATTAACACAGAAAAGAGTAATCTTGGGAGATGAGAACAGATTGCAAGGGAGGCTGTGGAACAAAAGAATCTTCAAAAATGACCGTGGTACTTAACGCAGGGTGAAGTAGGATACTAGGGCATGACCTGCCAACTGAAGAGACTTGTTAACTATGGGCACAGGGCAGCAGCTCCTAAGCCTGACATGAGAGCAAGTTTAGCCCTGCAGCTGGTACCAATCTTCTGACATGAGAAGAAGCCAAGCCTAGCCCTTGATGCCAATCTTTTAGCACAAGATCAAGTGGGTCCAGGTGGACCAACTATCAAAAAGGATATGAGGGGCTGGGGATTTAGCTCAGCGGCAAAGCGCCTGCCTGGCAAGCGCAAGGTCGTGAGTTCGGTTCCTGGTACCAGAGAAAAACCAAAAAAAAAAAAAAAAAAGGATATGAAAAAAAAAAAGAAGAAAAAAAGAGGGGAAAAAAAAAAGGATATGAAAAGACAGCAACAATCAACTTTGGAGCAACTGCCCTTCTTGTTCTTGCAGTGGTCCATTCTTCTTGCAGGAAGTATTTTTTTCCCTTCAAAACTCTTTTCTTGAGCACTTCTTTTTTTCCTCTTTTCCTTTTCTTCTTATTCCTGCCCTAAAATAAACAGTAATCTTTCACATTTACCAGTTGTCCTGATCAATTCATTCAGTGGAACAATAAGAACCTGGAAAACACGGCTGGTCCATACTCCACCAATAACAAGGGGACAAATCCTTAAGAGACCAAGATTGCTCCAAGAGATAAAGGTTTTATTATTTTATATTGTTTGCAGTCTTTCCCCAGCTTTGCCTGGGTTACACATTCCCTGAAAGGAACACAGCCCAGAGCTGGGCTGCAAGAGCCCTGCAAAAACCTTGGCATTAGCAGTACTTCAACAGCTGGGTGTTCAACACTTCATGTGACCCACTGCCTCTTGGGCAAATGACGTTTTTCCTGATCCATTTCTCCCTTTGCATTTGTTGCAAGAGGAAAGCAAAAATGAGAAATGAATTTTAAATGAGCTGAGATCTGCAAGAGGGAGAGAGAAAAACATCATTCCCAGCCCTGGAAGACCCTTCCAGATTCCCTGGGTATCTTTACATAACACAGTGTATTTCATATCTTAAATGCAAGAAAAAAAAACCTGTATACAGCCGTTGGGAAGCTCTCTGCAGCACCACTTACCTATTTAATGACAACACTTGGCTTTTAGTCACCATACATGCTTAAATAGCATTCAATAATCATTTATCAAGTACCTACTCTATACCAGGTATTGTGCTAAATGCCAAGAGTCAAAGAGAATAAATAAAAGGAGATATGTAAACAACTTCAATGCAAATTGGTAGAGATTTATTCTTGTGCCATGGAAACAGCAGCAAAAAGCCTTAAATGTTGGATGGTATGGGTTTTGCAGGCATAGGGTGGGGAGCTTTACCCTTAAAAGGCAGGGAAACACTGGGTCTGAATAAATGAGTACAGGTTTGATGTGTAGAGACAGAAGCAAGTTTCATAGTGGAGAAAAAATTGGTGGGATAGGGGCAATGGAGAAGAGCTTATGACAAGTCAAAGAGGATGGGCATATAAATAGAGGACATAGAAATTAGAGCCTGATAAATGAACATTAAATAGTAGTGGCTGATAGGAATAACTAATTCATGGAGCTGGACTATATCACTGTATATAAACTCTCCTAATATTGAGTTCCTGCCCTCTGGGAATTTGGTATTAACCTGAGATTAAATTGGTGAGGTAAAACGTGATCCTTCCCACCTGGCATGGTAGTGCATGCCTGTAATCCTAGCACTCGGGAGGCTGAGGCAGGAGGATCACTGAGAGTTTGAGGCCAGCCTGAGCTACACAGTGAGTTCAAGGCCAGCCTGAACTATGTAGCAAGACCCTGTCTCCAAACAAAACGAAACAAAATGTGATCCTTCCCAAACAGAAACTGCACTGCTTAATCATTCTCCATAAAAAACAGTAGTTTAGGATCTCACCCCCCGCCGGGGAGTTTTGGATTTTTGTTGTTGTTGTTTGGGGTTTTTTGCAAAACTGGTGATGAATTTGCACTTATGTGCTTATACTATCCACACCCCTGTGCTCATCCTTCCCTACTCCTTGTAGCTACCTGGCTCAAAGCCTGGCTTTCCTCCTCTCCCAGAATCAGAGAAGCTAATTAAAAACATAATGAAAGACACCAAGATAGGTGAGCAAACATTAGCAAATGCATAGATTAAATAAGTATTTACATTATGTGTAGGTAATGGTGCGGATGAAACTTGGGTGGCACTAGGAAGCATGAGTCAGAGGATGTTCAAATAAAGTGGGATCAGGAGAAATTTCCTCTCTCCCAGTTACACAGTTATTAATATCTTTTGGAATGACAGAATGAAAGAAACTGGTTAGTAGGAAAAAAGCAGACAAGGTTTGCAACTCTGGGTATAAATTCAACAGTTGAGAAATGATTAATCTCAAATTGTTACATCACTAGTTTTTTTCAGACCTAATTAGATAAATCAGAACCATCAAGAACCCCCAGGTGGCACATGGTGGCACATGCCCATCGTCCTAGGTTTCTGGAAGGCTGAGGCAGGAGGATCACAGTTCAAGTCTGGCCTGAGCAATTTAGAGACTTAGAAAAACCCATTTCCCAATAAAAAAGGGCTGGGAATGTAACTTAGAACCAAGGTCCTATGTTCAATGCCCAGTACCAAACAAGCAAACAAGCCAAAAACAATGGTAAGGGAGTAGCTAGCATTTATTGAGTAGCTAGCATTTATTGAGTTTATTGGCTGGCAACATGATAGACCCTTTGCTTATGTTTTCACTTAATCCTTACAGCAAATGTAGGAGATAGTCATCAGCATTTTAAAGAAGAGAAATCAGGGGCTGACTAGTTTAAGCATGGCAGAGCCAGGGTTTGAACCTAGAATTGTCTGACTTTAAACCCTCTTGTTGTGCCCTCTTTCAAAGACCATCTAAATTAACAGAAGTTTTTTTTTTTAATATTTTTAACAGAAGTTATTTACATTGATATACAAATGAAAACAGATTTGAGACTCAGTCTATATCTCTGGGCTCAAATAAGCCTTTATAAGCTAGGTGGCATGGACCATGCTGTATTAATCAGGGTTTTACTAGAGAAGCATATACAACACAAGATATACAAATGTATAAGAAATGACAAGATTGGCTTATGATGGTCTGCCACAGAGTTGAAGAAGTGTGCAGAGGGTGTCTGCACACTGGAGACCGAAGGATTCAGTCTAATGTCTGGAGTTCTCTGCAGCGTTCCGTGCAAGTCCGTATCAGGAGGCCAGTGGACCTGCGATGGATGAGTCTATACCAGAAAGCTGGAGGATCCAAGGCAGAAGCTTCAGGGTCTGCACTAGAAGCCAGAAGACGATAGAAATCCAAGTTGAAGGTGAAGACCGCAGCTTCTCCAAAGAATGGAACCCCTCTGTCCTTCCTCATTTCCCTTTCATATCATCCAGGTGATGAGCCACCCTGTGGTGGCTCCTCCACACTCCAGGGTGTAAAATTGCTGAGCCAATTTAGTTAAGCTTCTAAACTTCTCAAATTGACACAGTCAATTAACCACTACACATGCTATGTCCCAGAACCTGAAGAAGTTATAAGGAAGGTTAAAATACAGTTCCTGTTCTTGGGACAAGGACCAAACTCATTCATTTCTAAACCTGACACTCATCACTGCACCCATTACACACTCAGTAATTTAAATAATCTTTCAAACTAATGCCATGGAATTATCTAAACTGTAACCCAGGTCTTCTAACGCCCTTCTCAGTAGCTCTTTCTGTGTCATGGTGTGTTGCCTATGCCTTAGTTACTTTTCTCCCACTGCTACAACAAAATAGTCGACACCCCAAAGTTAAAGAGGGAAAGGTTTATTTAGCTCACACTTTGTGGAGGATTCA